AGGTGGATAAGAAAGTGTGTGAGTTTCCAACATGATTGTACGGAAAATGTATTGGAATGGGAAATAGATTTGGAGGAGATTGCATTGTGTGTTAGAAAGTTGAAGAATAATAAGACTGGTGGTAGTGATGGGCTTGTGGGGGAGCTTCTAAAGCATGGTGGGTCAGGGATGGTAGAGTTACTTAAACAGTTGTTTACAGTAATTTGGCGTGAGGAGTTTGTGCCACCACAGTGGAGGGAGGGCCTCATAGTTAACCTGTTTAAGAAGGGAGATAAGGAGGATCCTGGGAATTATAGGGGCATCACTCTGCTGAGTGTGGTTGGGAAGGTCTTTTGTAAGGTATTGAACAATAGGTTGGTGAAGCATCTGGACGAGGGCAAAGCATTGCATGAGGGCCAGGCTGGTTTTAGGGTTGGAAGGGGTTGTGTTGATAATATTTATACGCTGAATGAACTCGTGCAGGGTAGACTAAAGGAGGGGAAGGAGACATATGCATTCTTTCTAGATGTGCAGAAGGCATACGATAGTGTGTGGCGTAACGGCCTGTGGTTTAAGTTGTGGGAATTTGGGGTAAGAGGGAAGATGTGGAGGGTCATAAAGAAGATGTACGAGTATTCAAAGAGTGCTGTATTGTTGGATGGGGAACGGTCAGAGGCATTTGATGTGGAACAGGGGGTAGCTCAGGGATGTAGCTTATCTCCAATTTTGTTTTCCGTATTTATCAATGGGTTGTTGAGGGAGGTGGAGGAAGCTGAGATTGGGATCGATTTAAGTAGTGGTGGGAGACTTGGAGGACTTTTGTTTGCAGATGACTTCGTTGGTGTTAGTGAGTCTAAGGATCAGTTACAGACGCTTATAGATGTGGTGCATGCCTACTGTCGAAAATGGAGGCTAAAGGCTAATGTGAGTAAGAGTGCAGTGATGGTGTTCGCTAGGGAGTCAGTGGGATGGTGCTTGGAAATGGGGGGAGTATGTTTTGCCTAGAGTATCTAAATACACATTCTTGGGTGTTGATTTTACTAGTACTGGTGCATGGGATGTGCATATCAAGAATGTGTTAGACAATGGTAGAAGGAAGGTTAATCAGTTGCATAGTGTAATTAGTAATAGGGATATTAATTTGAGTGCTCGCAGGTTGTTGTTGCTGGCGGTGGTTAGGCCAACTTTAGAGTATGGGGGTGAGGTGTGGGAAGCCAATAAGACTCAGGCAGCTGCGTTAGAGTCCGTTATGCTGGGAGGAGCTAAGCGCATTCTTGGGTGTTCGTCTAAGACATGTAATGAAGCCGTTAGGGGGGATATGGGGCTTGATACGTTACAAGGGCGTAGGGATAAGAATAAGTTGAAGTGGTGGTATAAGTTAGCGGCATTGCCAGGCAATAGGTATCCGAAGAAGCTTTTTAATCAGGAATGGAATTTTAAGCCACGGAGAGGCAGGCAGAGGAAGGGTTGGAGTAAGGTCATTGATGATCTCTTTTCGTCATTAGGTCTTGACAAGGCAGAGTGGTTGCATGATATTCAAAATGGGGATTGCTCCTTGAAGGGCTTTTCTGTCTATAATAGGGGACAGTATTAATGAGAGGGAGATTAGAAAGTTTGAAGAGGGGCTAAATAGCAAAGTAAAGCTGTTATTGTATAAGACATTTAACAAGGTGGTAGAGTTCAAAAAGTACTTGCATGGGAAAAGTGATGCTGGGTCTAGATTAATGTTTAAGTTCAGGTCAGGCACGCATGGGCTAAATGAGGAACTGGGTAGGCATAGGGGGAGGGAGGGGGTGAAGGAGTGCCTGTTGTGTGATGATGAGTGTGAAAGTGTGAGTCATGTGTTGTGGGAGTGTCCAGCATATAGTAGTCTTAGGAGCAATTTCTTAGTTGCCCTGCAGGGGAAGCTTGGGGATGATGGGTTTGAGCATTTCCAGTCGCTTGATAGTTTCAGGAAAGCATCCTTTATATTGGGTAGTGAACTGTGGGAGGATAAATTTGGTTCTTTGCTTGGCCTTGTTAAAGATTTTATTTTGGATGTTTGGGAGCTAAGAAAGGTTAGGTTATACGGCGATAGTCCCTGTGTACAACAAACCCAGTCTCAGATTGCGTCTGGGGAGCTGCAGGGTGTCGCTGGTGGAAGGGGTGAGTTGAGGTGTCTGGGAGGTGAGACAGACACCTCATGTTCATATGGTGTATGTTCGTGTGTTAACGGTTCCGCCCATTGCTCTGGGTGCGTGGTCTATGGCCCTAGTGCTATGGCAGCCACCTGAGTATTATTATTATTATTTGTCTAAAATAACAAGTTCTTTGTTCTTCCTCTGAACTCTAACACTAAGTCTGTGAGATGCCACTGACCATCTCTGAATACTGCAGTAGACCTCAGTTGACCTGCACTCTTTCTTCCTGTTGTTTATAGTGCACGCTGAGTGCGCGTGCCGCAGAAAGATCTCAGCCGAGTAGTGTATTAGAACAAAACTGGTGGCTATTTAAACTAAATGTCTACTATAGGTGAGGTGGAACATGATTTACAAGGATGAGGTATGTTTGTGAATGGGTGATAAGTTTAGGCCATTCCACAACCTTTGTTATCACCACACTGTCACTGGGATCATCACCTGTCATGTCATGAATGCATACATTCATGACATGACAGGTGATGATCCCAGTGTCAGGGAGAAGGAGTGCAGGTCAACTGAGGTCTACATGTGTTGATGTACCTAGAAACACACCAGCAAAGGATGGGCCAGGATTTCTAACTTCCATTTGTTGGAGGAGTGGATCGATGACCAGTAATAAGAGAATGGGTGATAGCACAGAGGTCAGGTGGAACATCTCTCTGGAGTGTTAATGGGCAGAAGAGAGCACTACCAAGCTGAACCAAGCATTATGGCCCCACGTATATACCGTTATCGAATCAGTCTCCAAAATATCATGTTTATCCCCACATCATACAGTAGACATGACAGAGAAACACTCCATTATACTCCTGAGTCGAAAGCTTTTTGTAGGTCATATATAGCATAGCTAAGCAAATATTGTCGCGGTGACTGAGATAGTGATAAATTAATTCTGCGGTGCTGAAAACTGGTCAGTAACCTGATTGGTTTGCTGAGGAACACCTGCAGTGTGTGGTCCTATATAGACTTGCAAGTATTAGCAATTCCATTATGACTGGTGTAACAGATACTAGCTTCGTCGATCTCATGAGGATCTTTCCATACGTCTAGGTTTTCGTTCAGTCTTGCATCTTTCTCACTTCAAAACAGCAGAACCCCGCGCATGCGCATTGGAAGCATATTTATGCGTAAGTGCGTAAAACCCTGCCCCCTGCTTCGGACCAGCCGCTGTAGATCAAGGGGTGGTCACTCTCGTAGACACTGTAGTTAGAGCTACGACCGCGGTCACAATCGGCTCACAAGGACTCGGGCGATTTTGCTCACCGGTCACGCGGCCACAACGGTTTTAATTAATGGCCTGGTCACGGGTCACCGAGCTTGAAACCTCGGCACCTGCCACGATTTTCCCTCTCCACGGAGGGGTTGACGTCCTCTGAGCATGTGCACGCGCGCTGGTAACGCCCATTCCCGATTACGCGTGCGCTTTAATCGCTTACGCCCGCGCCATCTTGAAGCGATTAACCATCGGCACGCATGCGCAGCGAGGGTTATGGATTTCTCTGTCTGTGTGTGTGTCTGTGTGTCGATGCTTATTTCTGGCACTACAGGCTACGAGCGGCTTCAGAACTACGCGAGCCTGTTTAGTGCAGAGGGTTTCGCACAGGCACTTCTCCTGCTGCTCTCGTTCACAGACCACCAAGAATGGCAACTGGTAGGAGATCTAGTCGGTAGCTTATGTCATGGTCAGCACTTTGCTATCCTACAGCAGGTACTACACCAGACTTCCTAGACAAACGATTGCTGCAAGATGATGTTCCAGAGATAGTTGCAAACATACTGGATGCACAAACTAAATCAGAGCTGTTAGGTCGTGTACTCAAGTTGTCACCATCCAGGGTGTCTGGAATTCATATGCAGTACAAGGATCCAGAAGAGTGCCTGTTTCATGTCATTGATGAGTTTGTGAAACAAGTGGACCCCATACCTACTTGGAGAGTCATTTTAACCGCCCTGAGGCACCCCACTATTCGACTAACTGGTTTGGCAGATGAGATTGAAAGTAAACATTGCCCCCCAACAATATGTGGTATGTATACCTGTCAAAAATTTTTGTTGCTTGCTTCCTTACCTTTCAACTATACTAAGGACTATTTTGACAAAAACCTCAGGCCAATTATGTTTGGACTGTTCATATATACTACTTGATTCAACTACAGTGGGTCCAGGTTAATATCATACCCGCGGTGCATCCAAAAAATATGATAATATGCGGGATATTCTATAATGCAGGCGCGTATACTGAGTATACTCCATGTGTGTATACTGTGTATACCAATGTATATTGTGAACTAGATAGCGCACAATGTAGTTTGTTTAGCTAAGCTAATGAAGATAGGCTAGCCTAGCTGTTTACATAAGCTAATGAAGCCAGGTGGAGAATGGAGAGTTGCAAAACTCCAGCCCAAAGTTGTACAATGCCTAATTACGCATGTGCAATAATGACAATATGCGGGCAAAAACCCAAAATTGCTTAATTTTTCTATGATAATAGGCGGGATATGACATTATCCATATTCTCTGCATTCCATAAAACGGAGTAAAATGTATGGGAAAGCATAGGAAATGGTTTTGGATTTCAGGTTTGTATGATCATATGGTGTATGTTCGTGTGTTAACGGTTCCGCCCATTGCTCTGGGTGCGTGGTCTATGGCCCTAGTGCTATGGCAGCCACCTGAGTATTATTATTATTATTATTATTATGATAATAAACGGGATATTCTATTAAACGGTATGATATTAAGTGGGACCCACTGTATATATATACACGTGTGGACTTTATTTGTCCCTGATAGTCAGTGTCACTGACAAAACGTACCTCTCGGTAGCAAAGTGCTAAAACTTTTGAGGATTTTTCATTTGGGAATAAGCTATATACCTGCATCACAGTGATACAAGCTATAACATGTTGATAATGGCTAGCTACTTAGGCACTAGTGATACACTATATAACAAAACGATACTGTGTCTTGCATATACTTTAGAAATGCAGACGTTGATTGGTATTCATAGCCCATGACACGGGTATCTGGTTGTAAGGTGTAAAATGTTTATTGATCATGAATAAGTTGACCTTTATCACTCCCTTTAGATGAGTCCAAGAATACAACAAACAGTGGCTCTACATCTGAAACACACCAACAGGGTGAATAATATATCAAACTTTGTGTAATGTGTTGGATTATTGTCTATCCAGATTGGCTGACTTCTTGGAAAACAATACTCATTGGTGGAGTCTCTATTTTGATCATGTTACTAGCTGTGGTGTGGTCTAACACAGACTGCTACCAGCTGGGACTCTGCCACTCAAAGAGTCTGCCATCTGTCAGTCATTTTGTCGGTCGAGAGGAAGACATTCGCAACGTCACTGGCTACCTTGACTTGCTACACTTCAGATGTTCAGGTAGTTCACATTGTTGGACTCCTGGGTTTGGTAAATCCACTCTGGCTATGAAAATTGGGGAGTTATTCGTAAGAAATTGGTCAGTGTACATTATGTAGATGCTGGCTCAAGAAATGGTTAAAGATGTTGATACTCTTGTCGGAGATAATAATGCATAGTATTGTTGATTCCCTCAATCGTAAGTCACAAGGTGACATTACCCGATTTGGAGGAAAGTGGGTTCGTAGGCAATATTCAAAAACTTAATAATACTAGACAACTGCGATGAGTATTCTGAGCATCAAAAAGGACAGAATTTCTTGCTGGTGTAAAGTCACTACACATGCATCTCAAGTCCCAAATAGTGTGAGGTATCTTCTTACCAGTCAAAAGTGGTATGCTGACATTGGCAACTTTCGACTCCATGCCATTACACTCTTCCCCTGAGCAGCTACCCAACTGTTGGGTACAGTAGCTCCTAGTTTAACAGATGATCAGAAGTGGCAAATAGCTGATCTGACAGGAAATGTCCCACTAGCACTGCAAGTCGTAGGGGCTATTTTTAAGTTTCCTGATGCTCCTACGGCCAGAGGAAGTGATACAGGGCTTGAGAGACGGGAACTCCAGTTTCCACACTGAGTCCAGAAAACTACATTCAGACAGTTGATGCATATCGCATAGCGTTTGCGCTATAATTTTGCGGTGACAACACCAGGAGCTTGACGCAGTTGCTGTGTATAACTTAGTCGCTACGCTCGTTCCTAGCACTGTTCTCCGAGATAGATGACATGTGCGTAGCATCTCAATTTTAAACGGACAAATGCTAGACAGTTAGTGCAGAGGTCTGTGCTAAAATATCGAAAGGAGTCACAAATCAATGTCCATTTCACCACAACTGTTACAATGTTTTCTACTCACAGTACGTGATGGCAAGGAGGCTGAAAAACTTCCAGTACTATTTTAGTAGCCACTAGCCACTCCATCCACTTGCCTACAGTTACTGCTAAAAATAATGTAACACAAATGGGAACTGGAGATATTATACTTATGAGGTACACATCAACATTCTGCACATGTTCACTGTGTATCAGCCACAACATGTGACATTATACTTTCCTTTGCAGCAATTAAAACAGTATCAACAACATCCACAGAATTTCTCACTCTGCTCCCTGTACTATTCATTTATGGCTGTTGCATGACTAGCTATATATCTATATGTGGTGGTTGCTGCTCGGCATAGACTTGAAAGAACCCTTTTGTTTTTTCGCAACTTCCGGTATGCAAGTGTGTCACTATTTTTATTCTCATTTTTCTTGCTATTGATGAGCTGCTATATTACTTTTCATATTAACTTCTGTCATAATAAACTTTCTATTATGTCACAAAATCATAGTTTGCTCGAATTGCCACATTCGGTATGAGCTGTTCTGGAACCGTTAGCGAAGCTTAGCATTTTTGATGACCCAATTATATAGCACAATAGGAGGCTTGCAAATGGAGCTGAAAGCTGAATTGATAGCCCGGAGCAGAGACTTCACACTCAGTACGGTTGTGTCACGGAAGACTAAGGTACTAAGGTAACTTCACTCCTAGTTTAACAGATGATCAGAAGAGAAAAATGCGGTAGGCTCTGAGAAAACAATCCTTATCACGCAAGTTTGAGTTGCAGTACTTGCCTGATACCTGGAGTGGTAATAATGGAATTGAATGGAATGTAAGCCTCTATTTTTAGCAGACTCCACCTCTGTCTATTGTCTAAAGCCTGCACAAATTTTTCCATTCCACATTTATGGCCACAGGTATCAGTCAAGTACAGCTGCTCAAAGTTGCACAGTTTTCTCAGAGCCTATCTGAAAATAGCTGATTTGACAGGAAATGTTGCACTGGCACCGAAAGTCATAGGAGCCATCTTTTATGTTTCCAGATGCTCCCCACCCAAGAAATGGTGCTAAAAAGAGATACTCTAAGTCCAACTGAGCTACGTTCCACGATTGATGTGTCCATTTGAATGGCTTATAGCTAGTTACCTTGCTCCTTAACTGAAGCAGTTGGGAATAAAATTGTCCCACATTCCCGGTAGCTTTGAGGAAATAAGTTCTTTCTTCTTGTTTCGATTCAATCCAGGAATGTTGCCTGATCTGGTTGAAAGATCTCTCTTGCAAACCAGCCACAACCGACAGAGATACCAGAGTAGAGTGTACATTGATATATAAACTGGGAAAGCCTTATTACACAGTGCTTAAGTTTGGACTGGAATCGTACAAACCACTTGATGATTTTGAAAAAAATATTCTACAACAGATAATTCACTGAAGCAGGCTGTATAGCACATCAACAATCTGATCAGGTCTGGTTTCTTCTCCTGGAAGGTAAGGACAAAGTTATGCAACCACATTTTATTAATCAGAGCGTCGGTAGACGCTCTATGTATATAGGGATGACACGAGTGAAATCGTGATCCGCGTACAAAACGCCTCGAAACTCGGCGAGAATGGCTAGCTATGCCTTCAAAACACACCAAAAATCTCTCACGGGTCCATATCTACCTATACATATGCCCAGAAGTTTCATATGTCCCTGCAATTCTCGACACGAGAATCCGCTCATACGCGATTTCTGATTTTCGTGTCATCATATTATTCTTCTTCTTCTTCTTCTTCTTTAACAGAGGTGCCGATTTGGCGCTATGGCGCCGGAAATGGCGTCATCAGAAAAATCACAGCGTCGCGCGATGGGTGAATTTCAGGCGTCAGCGATGGTCGCTTTTCCAGTTCCTGGCCTGCTGAGGTGCAACGCCGTATCGACTTCGACTACCGCGCTACTGCCACCGCCCACAAAGAAAGTGCGCAAAATGGTCATCGCAGTGCTTTTAAACCTGCTATCTCCTTACCAGAACCAGTTCAAGCACTGATTTTTTTCACTGAAGGTCTCCAATTTCGCCGGAGGTATGCACGGACATCAAACGATCGTTACTTTCTTGCCGCTAGTCACTACGGTAGATCATGGAGCTCTTCCATGGTCGACACTGAACAACGCCATTTGCTGCTAACTCAGCATCAGTGAGCCGCGCGCATGCGCCAGGCAGGGGCGTTGTCCAATGCGCTGTGCGCGCGTATGACCAGGCGAGTTGGAAGGAACTCTCAGCCTCCAGTACCTTCTGTAAGTAAGTGTGCACATTTCCAACTGGCTAGCTTGCTGTTGATTTACACGAAGAGCAACTTGGCAAAGTCTGAGCGGTGTTACGCGAGCCTTGCGGGGCGCTCAGTGTGCCTTCGTTGTTTGTTGTGTTATTATTACGATTTCATTACCACGCAGTTGGTTACCAGGTCCTTAGTTTCTTGTACTATCTTGCATCTTTGTGATACATTGGAATAAGGAACTAAGGTAAGGAACTTCCCCTAAAGGCGTTTGTAGTAAGGTATACCTGTTGAACAATAAGCTGGTTAGGTCTTACACTAGTAACCCTGTAACCACTAGGCTAGTTTTACTGGAGAGAAGAGAATGAAGCGTTTGAAGAAGAACATCGGCCAGCTTGCTTCAAAGAAGTCCAAAGTAGATGAGGAAAGTGCTGTTAAGAAGAACGATATTGAGGAGATGAAAGGAGAGACTGAGGGTAAAGTCGGAACTGAAGTGAAGTCTGTGTTAGTGTTGCATCTGTTGCAGCTGTTGCAGATGTGAAAGAAGAAAGTGTTTTAGAAATGAAGGTAGAGGCTGCTTTGGAGGGAGAGGGTAGTGATGTTATTGTGTCTACTGCGGAGGAAGAGAGAAGGGGAGATGGTGATGCTATAGTGAAAGGAGAAAATGCTATGGAGACAGGAAAGATAAATTCCTGTGAAGGAAAAGTATCCTCATATCTGCATACAACTCGAGTAAGAAACATTAAGGAAATGAAATGCTTATGCACTTTTGTTTCAACAAAATAGGTGAAAAGGCTCAACTCAAGATATTGGAAGAACATGCAAAAGAAGGTATAACCATATTAGTAGTTTCCTGAAGTGTTTAATGGAAGTTCCTCAGTTTTGGTGACAAAAACTGGTTGCTCACAGTGCCTCACTTATGAGTTGTGCACCACTGCTTCTCATATAGTTAAACCAGCTCATGAATATTGTGTGAACCCACATTTTTGCACTCCCTATACTCCAGTGCAGGACCTGGATAGAAAAGTCCCATCCTTATCACCCAAGTTTTTGCTTTCTATACTGGAGCAGTGTTAGGGGACATCAAGAGATGGTTTGGGAAGGTGATATTCACTGTAAATTGCATGGATACCCATGTTATAAATACTACCATTATAATACTAGCACCAGAGCACATGAGAAGATTTGCTGACAGCCCTGAGACAGCAAGGCTGTTCAAAGAGGCAGCGTTGAGCCTGAATATCACTGAGAGTAAATATACGGACTGATATGTATGTAATGGTTTCATTTATTGTGCTCTGAATTTACAGCCAGGAGTAATCCTGCAACTCACCATCACACTTATGATGCTGTTTTACGTGAGAATCCCATAATCTTGCGATCAAGGGATCCAGAGGAATATAGAAATGATGTGCTGGCTAAAATAATTCCACGAATTCTTAATCCATTGGGTAATTGTGTTGTGTATTCAAAACTCTATTAATGGCCTATTTTGCTTGTAGGAAAGAGGAAAAACTTTTATGACAATCTTTCAAACTGTCCTCCATGGTTTCCAAAGTCCACTGTCTCATTTCGGAGACCTAACCACCCTAGAGGTAAGAACAATGATCCTATACTGTTATTAAAATTGATCATCATTCTTACAATAGCCGGGAAGAAACGAATGACTGCAGTAGAAATGAGGTTAATCTTGCAATCCTTCTTGAGCAGCTGTGAGGATTATTATAGAATGTTAGTATTTTGAAAGACATATAAACTGTTAATTATTATTAGTTTTTACTTTCCACTTCTAGTGAGGGTGGCAATAATGAGAGAGGTGTAAAAGAAAGGATTGGTACGTACTTGTAGTAGATTTAAATGCTGTACGTAGGTATATAACAGCCACACTCAACAGATAATGCTAATATGTCAGGACTCTACACGCCAAGCTTGCCGTCATCCGATTCAGAGAAAGAAGATGGTACGTACTTAATTAATTATACGTTCAAGCTGTGTACTCAGTTTGCAACAGATATTCCCGAGCTCAGTTGCACTCCAGCCAAAGGAGAAGTTCCGATGGTAATGCAATGGTTAATGATGAACTTGTAACAAATTTAACCTTTAAGGTAATGGATGCTGAGCAGGCACTACGATGGTGCTCTGCCGCAGATGATTGGCATGAATTTTCACAGCAGGTACTGGAAGCAATTCAGGCAGTCAATCTCTTCTTCTTGTCAGATGGCGCAGTACAAGACGTAGATAATGTTCAGAGTTTCATTGATTGGAGGTATGTGGCTACAAAATCGATGTGAATAGTCACTCATATTATACCTTTAATGGATTTAGGAGGCATCACATGCTCTGCAATAAGCTGCCACAAGGCTATATACCATGTATAGTCTCTGCAGAAGAGAAGGAACACATTGGACGCTTTATTAACCATTCCAAGAAATCACCCAACTTAGTAGCAAAAGCACACACATAGTATTCATTAGTAAGTGCAAAATTCAACCTGGAGAAGAATTAGTTTATGACTAAGGGGACCGGTCTAGGCTCGCAATCCATGATCACCCATGGCTTAAACTTTGATTTAAAAAAAATATATCTATCCACTCTACAACACATCATCACTGAAACATTCCTGTATATCAACATTAACGACCTAGTTACTAACTGTGTGTCAATTATCACTCAGTAATGTGAACTATGAAGCAAGGTACAACAAACGGAGGACCTAATTACTGACTGCTTATGGGCGAAAGGTAAGGAAATTGTAGCAAAGATGCTATAGTTCCTTATATTATATTTACAGCAGTCAGCTTACGATGTTGGCAGACTATATTGAAAAGGATTGAGCAGGAAATCTATTGAGGCTACAGATGGTTAATTAACAATGAAAGTGTTCTTGTTGGATCGATCCTTGATACTCTAATGGGATTCAGTCGCAATTAGTGTGGTTCCTTATTCCAATACATCTCACACATGCATATTAGGCAAGTTAGAACCTGTTCACTGAATGTATATGGACGAAATGTAATGAATCATCCCTAATTAGTGTAAATACACTATGGTTCCTCACCTCGGGAAGGTAATTATGTGGTTATACTGAAGTGCATTTATGGAAAATATTGTGCTAACAGTAAAGTTGGATCGATCCTTGATACTCTATTGGATTCAGTAGCAATTAGCGTGGTTCCTTATTCCAATCATACCCATTCACAATAAACTGAGGACCTGGTTACTAGCTGTATATGGACGAAAGCACTAAATAGGCTGCTGAGCCCCGGCCCCCCTCACTGCACTAAATAGGCTGCTGAGCCCCTCCCCTGCACTAAATAGGTTGCTGAGCCCCTCCCACTGCACTAAATAGGCTGCTGAGCCCCTCCCACTGCACTAAATAGGCTGCTGAGCCCTCCCACTGCACTAAAGGTTGCTGAGCACTCCCACTGCACTAAATAGGCTGCTGAGCCCCTCCTTCTGCACTAAAGGTTGTATGAGCCCCTCCCACTGCCCAAGCTGTTGCCCCTCCCACTGCACTAAATGTTGCTTGAGCCCGCCCCTCCCACTGCACCAGAAGGGGGTTGTTTTAGCCCCTCCCACTGCACTAAAGACTGCTGAGCCCTCTCTTATGCTCACTGCACTTTTGAGCCCCTCCCACTGCACCAGAAAGGTTGTTGAGAGTCACTCCCACTCCAAGGGCTGCTGAGCCCCTCCCACTGCACTAAAGACCGCTATATAACTAAACGTATCTTCCGAGTTTTTCTCGGACACGGATGGGTCAGTCATTGTGTCGAGCTCCTCCCACTAAAATATGTAACAGCTCAGTTTCTGCTCCGAACGGCATTTCTTGCGTGTTTGTATAGCTTATTCATTCGATAACTGAAAGTTTTATCTGTCAATGGGAATCCCATCTTGCTTGAGCTTCTGCTATGAAGAGAAATGATGGGGAAGCAGCACAAGCGATGACCGCGACGACGGGGTTAAATATCGAAACCACGCCCCTGCGTGGTTCCTTAGTGGTTTATAATAATTATACCTCAGCAAGCACCCATATCCTGCCAGTGCATACACATACGTGTAACAATAGACCATGCGATGCCAAGAGAAAAAAAAGGAAAAAAAAGATGCGGAGCTCTGGACAGCTATTTCGGGCCTCATGAGCAAAGCATACAGTAACTTCTCTCTCTGGCATCACGAGTTTATAAAGGCAAAGTTGAGCGCAGCGCTTGTGGTTTTGAACTAATCCCCACAAGGCTTTGTGTATCGTGCCAGAATGGCTCGATCCCCGCTCCCCGGCCCCCCGTGCGCGCGTCATCGTGCATCATCGATATCTGGATGGCGCGCGGCGTTGGGGGGCGTGCCGACTTCCGAGCTCAGCCTAGCTAAGAGCATACCTACCAACCTGCTTTGCTTGGTGGGTCTAATCAAAATGCATGGGCGTGATCCATCACAGGTTAGCACAACAAACAGGGATTTGGGGATTTTATTGTAGGATAGGAAGTATTTTTGCTTGATTATCAAGGAAAAATCTGGATGGTTGGTAGGTATGTAAGAGCATGGCGAATGCAGGGCATTTTTGGCGAGCGAGAGCACTCCACGAGCCATTAAAAGGTTAGTAATATCTCTCCATTTAGCATCAGCAATTGCTGCTGAAATAGCACGTCTATCAAGCAACTCTGGCACACTATTACTAAACTAATTTGGTGCACTTAGTCTACGGAGCCATTCTGGTACGCTAATGCACTGCTATCTACAGAGCCATTCTGGCACGCCAGTGTACTGCAATCTATGAGCCATTCTGGCACGCTAGTGTACTGCAATCTACGGATCCATTCTGGCACGCTAGTGTACTTGCCAGAATGGCTAATAGATACAGTACACTAGCGTGCCAGAAACTAAGACTAGACGTAGACTAAATGGCTCATAAACATTAGCGTGCCAGAATGACTCAATAGTATTGCACTACATTGGTGTGCCCGCGGTGCACTGCATTCCTTTTAAATTTCTAGATACACTGCATGTGCCTGAATAGTTCCATAGACATTAGAGAGCCAAAATTTACTACTGTCTGATTGAGCGCTGTATTCTACGCGCTACGCTTATTGCGTGACGTAAATATTGCGGCCTGTTCGGCCGGATCAGCCGGCCGAGCCGTTCTGGCACGCTACAGGGGGCGGCGTCCCTTGAAAAAAATCTCGAGAGTGCAGAAGCGAGTGTGTGTGTGTATACTGAATTTCCCCAGTGATCCCTCTCAACATGAGTACTGCTAAAGAAAAAGGTTGGGTTATGAATTTTAGACTGCCCGCTGCATGCATGCACTTAGTCTATGATTCGTCCTCAATCCTGCAACAGAATCGCTCGTTGCGGACAAGCAGGCCTCTCCTCCTGCCTATTCCGGATCACCACCACCGCAGACGGTAGTGTACCAGCAGCCCCAGACCCACCTGGAGACCAACTATACATGTCAATCTTCACCATCCTCTGCTGTTTTATGCCGTTGAGGATCATTGCACTCATCAAGAGCATAGAAGTAAAGTGGTATAAAACATACAGTACTGGCAATAAATGGCACAAAGGTATATGGACAAAAATGTAGGACCAATATTTTATCCTGCAAAAGTTAGTCTCTTTGTGCAACTGTGGATTATGAGTGTTCATTTCCACTGGGCAGGCCCGGACATCTTACCAGCTGGGCCATCACGACCAGGCAGCGGCTGCCATTCGCTCAGCCAAGGCCTTCAACCGCTGGGCGATCATTGTAAACGTCATCATCATTACCCTCGGCGGGCATATGCAGCGAGCGTACGGTAGTTGGGTCTGTCTGTGTGTGTATTTGTTATTCAACATCTCAGTTTTCCAATGGTTGTTCGTCTCACAAACCATATGACCTACTTAGCGGGCAGCGAAGGTAAGAATTTTCGAGCAGTTTTTCTGAAAATGCTCCGTTGCAAAAATGCGTATATAGTCGGCCATTTTTATCGCTGCGGACGCAATCTGAGACTGGGTTTGTTGTACGCAGGGATTATCGCCGCATAACCCAACCTTCCTTAGCTCCCAAACATCCAAAATAAAACCTTTAACACGGCCAAGCAAAGAACCAAATTTATCCTCCCACAGCTCACTGCCCAATATAAAGGATGCTTTCCTGAAACTATCAAGCGACTGGAAATGCTCAAACCCATCATCCCCAAGCTTCCCCTGCAGGG